AAAAAATTAAAAAGGAAGAAAGTATAAAATATTTGTCTCTAAAAAAAATGAGAGCTTAGGTAGGACTGTAGAAAATTAATCCACTTGAGTTGCATGCAGAGAAAATATAGAAAGAAACAAAACAAAAAGGGTTTGCTCTTAAGGAGGGAGCCGTTAAGGGTTCACCAGGGGACATATTTCTATTTTTTTACCCCCTTACTCTGTATTTATCTTTTATTTCATTGTATGTAAAACACCTCATCGCTAACTTTAATTATGTTGATTACTTATTGTGACCACAATGCCCAATCAGTGTCGTAATCACTAATCACTATCATCATTCCGGTCTCAAGTTTTAAACCAGATCCTTTTAATGCATGATTCAAATCCCGTTTTGGATGAGAGTTCAAAGGTCTTCAAAAGTCTTTTATATAGAGCTTTAAGATTATTGTCCTATTTATTGAAAGAGAACATTTCTATATTTATTCTGAATCTAATATTGTAAGAAGAAAGTTGTTTTGTTTTTTTTGGACGTGCAAAACTATAAAGTCAAGAACATTAAAAGAGTATAATTTTAGCTTAGGGTGTGAATAATGATTTTTTTAAGGAAACTGGGTGAAAAGTGAAAGCAAAGTTTAAATATGAACATTAAGAGGCTTTAATTACAGATTGCCAAATTTAAAATAAAAAGCATCAGTTTATTGGCAGTTATTAGCTTTATGGTCTTTCTGCTTCAGTTTCTGATTATCATATTATTGATTCATCGATTGACATTTAGAACAAAATGGTGCTTCCTCTTCTTAATATGAAATGCGTGGCGAGATGTTCATCTATTATGCTACAAAACCTGACACAGCCAGAAAACAGACTTCAGGAGTCTGAAAGACTCTGCAACCCAAAGGTGGAATCCTATCAATCAACTGCTTGGGGAGAAAAAAAATAAATAAAATAACAGATAAGGAATGTGTTGCAGACTTGTGAAAGTTGAAGCTTGAGCTGGAAGTGCAAACAGAGCACGAGTTATCTGTGTGGACGCTGGAGCTTCCTCCACCAAAAGACCTTAATCACCCCTTGAGCATGCAATCCCCAAGCTCATTTGCAGCAACTTCTAGCAGACTAGATCCGCCGCAGCCAGCCTGTCTTGCCAGACGAATGTGTCTACCATAGCAGATTCTCGCCTGCTCGTCCTCTATCGGCTCCTCCTCGAGAACTTGTCTGCCCTACCGAGGTGGGGAGAGAAGGAGCGTGGCCACCATTTTGATTGCTCTTCCCAGCCCCAGCCTTGTCGCAGCACACCGTGTCAAGCTCACAGGCTTCTTGTCAGCAAGATTTCACACAGTGGCTAGGAAAGCTGCAGAACACACACACACGCACACTCCTTTCAATCTCCAGGCAGGCTGGACACCTTCAGTCTATTATGCACACAAAGTCACCTAAGGCTGAGCAGATAATACAGAGCATGTTCATGCATGACACCTAATCTCTAAATGGCTCAAAAACCACATCAATACGAGTAATTATGTAATGACATGAACATGTGCAGTCCAGATCTCCACTCCCTCGAGTCCGAGCTATCATAAGTTGTAACGATCTGCTTTTATTTTAATGAAAACCACTAAAGAGTGCCGGATGGAGCAGCCTGGAAACGGATCCAAAACAAAGCAAGAATCATCATTAGAATTTCCTACAAGAAACCGCCTGCAACAGCCGTTGCTTCACTCACGCACACGCAGACACACACACACACAACACACACACACACACACATGCACGCACACACACACACAGAGAAACAGAAGAGCGTGCATACGTGCGTGTTGATACCGCTCTGTTGATCATTAACTACCTGCAAGACCAAAAAAAACAAAAAACGGCATTGTTCTGCTTTTAAAATTCTGTCGTATCCCCATGTCCACCTGTAGCTAGAGTCACGGTTCCGAAAATGTTCGGCAAGCAGCGCTGGTGCAGGTTGGGCTGCTCTCAGTGGTATTAAGAAGTAGCTTTGGCTAGAGTAATGTGCTAGATAATTAAAAACAAAAGATTTGGGATATAATGCCAACAGCCAAAAAGATGAGCTGTCCAGGCATATTGATTGTTGCTTCATCAAAACATCATAAAACAAGAGTAGAGGAAGAAATATGAAGACCTCCTTGTACAGACTTAATAGGAACATATTGTAGGTCCATTTAATGCTAAACTATGAACTGGCACCTAGAAATGACAGCAAACTTAACCTAATGTGTTCCAGTTAAATAAGAAAACTGTAGGATATTCAAATTAATATGATCAGTGAAAAAATGAACTACTGTTAGCAATATATGCCTGCAATGTACATGCTTTACACAATAATGACATATTTATCGCAGGAGACTGCATCATATAAGGTGATTGATGTTTAAAATCAACCATTTTGACTGCAGCTACCACTCAGTTTCATATCCAAGGCAGCCATTTTGGATTTTGAGGTCCAACTTTCCAAGCAGAATTTCGACTTCTGGAAATCTTTGTGCTATATTTTTCAAATCCAAAACTTGGAAAAGTTGAATTTTGAGTAAAAATTTGATGCATATTTAAACAGTGTCCTTTGACCAACTGTGCCAAAGCGCACAAATAATACGCAATAATAAAATGTGTGACTGTATTGTGGTACCTGGACAGTTTCCTGCCGTTGCAGTTTTTAGAAAAAGTTTGAGATCCACTGTGTTAGGGAATTTTCTAAATGTTTTTTTGCTGAAGATCTTCCAATGTTATACCAGGCAAGTTTGTTTCCACAGCCTACTATAAGATTCTCGCATTATGATAACTGAGAAAAATGATCAAGCATCAAAGTATAATTGTATTTGTGAGTGTAATTTTTAAGTGAAAACATGTGATAACTTAATTGCTTTTACTTTAATAGTCAAATTCAATAAAATCTACCTTTATTTTTTAAAGCACTTCAAAACATCATGCAGGACTAAAGTGCCACTGATATTAAAAGACAGAATGAGCAACAGTTAATCCTACCACAACATAGTGCACTGACTATTCAATTATACAGATCCAGTACATTTGGCTTGTGTTATTCAGATAAACAATAATTATATCATTTTTAATTAAAAGCAGTAAATTAGCTGTTTTCAAGTTTGCTGTCCAGCTCTGTACTCATAACAGACTATTAGAAGCTAACATTAGCCGATTGGTCAGGCTGTCTGCTGCAGTAGCTAAACCAGCCAGTTTAACAGGCACTTACTGTTGCCACTAAGAGTATTTCATATTTTTACTTAATAGTTTCCAATACCTTTGCATCCAAAATAATTACTAACAGAATAAATGTGTATTTGCTATAAATAAAGTGTAGATCTTAACCAGTTTTCTTCTTTCCCCAATTTGTTCCCTCAAATTGACATTTTGTCTCTCCTTGTTTAATTTGCTAAGCCATAAACAAAGTATGCACTTTAACCATTGCAATACTTTTGTCATGGAATAGTAATAGATTATAATTATAATTTTAAAAGAAGTGCAACAAGTGCAAATAGTAGTTTGCTACATACTACTACGATAAAATAGTTTCTCTAGGGGAAGAAATATTCGCTTTAAAAGCAAAGGGGTGAAATGACCAGCACCCAGGAAATGCCTTAGTCCTCTTTCAGCCAGCTGACTGGCAGTGTGCAGGTCATTGAGGTGATATGCTACGCCATGCTCCAAAATGCCATTCATTCCAGCAATTTCTTAGGTCTCATTAAAAATGAGTGGAGAGAAACAATACTCTATAACATTTAAGTAGAAGTAGTTTTGAAACTTTAACTTTTTAAAACCCTGGTAGATCTTCAAACCGGTGGCTCGACCGAGACCATCTGTACGCATGTAAGCGAAAGCAAGAATCTCATGGGAGTTAACACCTTGAAAGCACCACCACTTTTAAACTTCTCCTGCTTCCCTTTCAGCAAGCTAAAACTTCAGAGCTGAAAAAGCAGCAGAAGAAGGAGGAGGAAGAAGAAGAAAAGGTGGATGAGCTCATTCTGAACACAACCTTTGTTCTGCCTGCCTGTCTGACTCCAGGGGCTCTCCTTGGAGACTCATCTTTCCTTCCTCCATTTTATGGTGAAGCCCTACTTTGTGTGACATACCTGACTTGAGACCAGTGACAAGCAAAACAGCACCTCCAAGCAGTCAAGCTGGTAACACTGAAGCAATAAGCACCCAAGAAATAATAATAATAAAAAAAGCTTAGAACATAATATAGGTAGAACCAAACTGTGGGTTATCTTAGAGATATCTAACTCCAACGCTGTGGAGAACGGAGTCCAAAAATCGCTAGCTGATAAGGTTTCTTTCTCTAGAAGCTGGGAGGAGAAGGAGGGGGATAGGAAAGCACTGGACATGGCTTTTCATGGTGAGTGAGTGAGTGAGTGAGTGAGTGAGTGAGTGAGTGCGTGTGTGTGTGTGTGTGTGTGTGTGGCTGGACCAGCGGCTATGGCAGCTTCTCTGTGTCGCTAATGGAGTCTGGGAGAGGAGATCAACCCAGAGCAATGGCTCCTCCATGAAGCTACCGCGCAGGCACCAGAGAGAGAGAGAGAGAGGGGGGCCACCGACTAATTCCCCTGACCAGACATGCCGGCGGAATAACAAAACACTCCGCTCCGGTGCTGCCGAAACACGCAGGCGAGCCTCCTACTTTGCGCCACCACCACCACCACCAACGCTGCCGCCGCGTCCATTTCCTTGTGTCACTTTGACAACAAACCGAAAGGCGACATAAGCGAGGAAGCAGCGGCTTGGGAAGCGAGAAGACCCACTTGACTTTTTTGGGCTGCCTAGTGACTAAAAAAAAAAAATCTCGCCCCGACTTCCTCGTCTGGACCCTGGACTAAAACCGAGCGAGCACGCAGCTCTTTCCAGGTCATTCACGAGGCGCTCTCCAAATTATATCCCATGATCTACCACACCGACGTTCTCTTGGACCTTGAAAGCCCAGCAGCAATCTTGACGAAACTGGACGCACAATCACAAGAAGGGGAGATTAAAAACCAAAAACTCACTGGTACAATCTTCTCCTCGAGCGATCCTCCCGAAAGTTGTCCTCGTATTTCATGCGTGCGCCCGGTCGGTCTAATGGATGATCGCCATCTTTCCTGCTTCTCCTTCGCTGCAGCTGCAGATGACCTGAGATCCGTCTGTCTCTGAATAATGAGCAACCACACAGACAAGGAAGACAATCTGCAAAGCAGGCTACACAAAGAAGTTTGGGAGACTAGCAAGCACCAGAGGGTGCACAAGAGTTTACGATGAGACGAGGAGAGAGCATCAGCAGGATGGACAATGTCTCTGCCCGAGAAGCTCATCCTTCATCTAGACTGAAGTCAGATGATCTGCAAAGCCTTATCAGCGGCTCAGAGCACCAGCAGATACACGCGGCCACCGTGAATTTTATATAGGCAGGCAATACTATGTGCGCAACGTCATGAGGTTATCTGCAGTTCACCTTGGTGATGCTGCAGCTTCACACCATACATAAAAATATAGATATTTACACAAATACATAAATAAAAAAATAAAATATATTTTAAAAAAAACGTATTTAGTAAGACAGCAAAATACCGTTTCAGCTGTTTGTAAACACAGCCACATTTACCACAAAGGGTTTTTCTAAATAATCAATTAACATAAATTTAATATTTTTGTTTCTTATTTTATGCCCCTTGCTCCAATCACAAAAAAAAAAAAAAAAAAAAACATGGCTGATGTGCTCCTGCGGGCTACTGCTGTGACCAGCTAACAAAAGGAGCCCAGCACAAAAGGTGCGGGGGTCCTCCTCAGATGTATGTCAGTAGTAAAAGGATGGGGTTGGATGCCTGAGGGGGGGCGGAGGGAGCTGAGCTGCAAGAAGCCAAGAGGGCAGGCATGCATATATGGCTGGGTGGGTGGTTAGTGAGGAGAAGCAACCTCACTAACCTGCCTTCCATGATTGAGCAACTATCTAGAGTGTAATATATCACCTGAGAGCCTGTTTTTAGTGAAGAGGTATAGGGGAATATTACTATATTTGCTGTGTTTCAGCAAAGTCACACAAGTCACATTTTAATGCAGTTGCATAGAAGAATTTAGAAAAAAAATATCTGACACACCACTCAAAATGGGAAAGAGAAGAGAACTGCAATCTGAGAACCTCTCTTTTATTTTATTTAATTTAAAAAAATAAGCCTTTAGAATCATTGTGCAGTTTATATACGGTATGCTTCTGCAAAACATGTCTGATATAATAACTATTTCATCTTCTCTTATGAAGACAGTTATGCTATTCTACATTATAGTGTTAGGGTTCGACATTTGAATGCAATGCATCATCAAAAAATATATTAAATATCTACAATGTCCCAACCTTTTAAGTATTGGAGATTATCCTTATTTTGTCATGTCTTGTTTTTTTTTTTTTAGTTTTCAGTTAAATTTAAGTTAAGTTTATTTAACAAAATGACCTAGACTTTAAAGGTTTAATGAACAATTATGGTGCCATGTCATTTTATTTATTTATTATTTCCCTTATACCAGATGAAGATCATTAAAACAACAAAAGAAAGAACTATAGTCAAAAATCAAATGTGATACTTCTTGATAAAATTTTTTAAGTGTTTGAGAGCATTCAAGAGATAAAAATAAATGTGCAGACGTATTTAGAGTTAATAGAGATGAGTCGAGATAAATTTATTGTAGTACAAATATGACATTTATAGAGGATTGAGAAGAGTGTATTTTTAATTTTATTTGAACAAATCCCCACAGATTTAACAGATAATACAATTGTTGTTTCTGTCCAAACAAAGCACAAATTGTGAAAATTAAAGATTAGCTATGTAAACTTAACCTTTAATAATGACTGATGTCGATGGGTTCACGATCTGCTTATCAACCAACAGGAACAGTTTTAACTGTACAGAGTAAAACTGCTGCTCACCAGATATGGCTCTGCAGGCCACCTGCAGAATGTTCAAATGAGGTTCACATGGACAAACCAGAGAACTGTTGGAAAATATTTTTCTAGGTTGTTTTTTTTTTTCTTTGTCATAACGTCTTTATTTGGGGAGAAGAAACCACTGAACTCTAGCTTTTCAATTTATCCCAACTTTGGCAACTTTCCTGAAGTTGCCAAAACAGGAAACTGACTGTTTTGGCAACTTCTGGGACTAGACAGGTTACCATTGATTTTGGAGAAATAAATTCCTAATCATACCACCATAAAAAAAAGCATTCTATAAAATGAGAAAATAAGTTAGCATTTTTGTTTGGTCAGTTCAGAACTCTGTATTTCTCCAAGATAGCTTTAAGGAAACACAAAGAGATTTAATTGCAAATGTTTTACCCCATTTTTTCCACATCCAACCTCTGACATGTCGTACTTTATCCAGTGCAATACTGCAATATGGTGATTTGCTTTGTGGGATTCCACGCATGAATCTGATGACATTTTGAGGTCATATTTATACAGATTAAGAACATTTTGAAGGCTTTACAAGTCTTCAAATGGCAGCATAAATCAGGTCAGTGTTTGGCTCGGCATGTGCTTGTCTATTAATCAACACACAGCTTCTTAGGTTTGTTGGCCAGAAGGTTGTTCCAAGCATCATGGAGATCTTACCACTGTTCCTCTGTGGATTTAGACTACCCACCAGCTTCTGCGCCTTCATCTAATCCCAGACTGACTATGTTGTTGATATATGGGCCCTGGGGGAGGAAAGGGGGTGGGGTGGGAAATGCCATCTGTTGCAGGACTCCTTGGTCCTCTTACTAGAGAAGATGTGTTCTGTACGACAATACGAAGTACCTTGAAAAGTATTTGCCCCCAATAATTGATCAAATTTTGTCACTTTATAGGCCAGCATAAAGTAGAGGATGCTTAAAAAAAAAAGACAAATATAAATCTGTGAAAAAGTGTGATGTGGATTTGAGTTCAGCCTCTCTCAGTTAATATCTTTCATCAGAAGGATGAAAGGATGATGCTAGTGAGCCATTCATTTGATTCGATTGTATTGCAAACAGTGGCTCGGTCATGTCAAGTTATGTCAACGGCCATATGGGCGGTTGCCCAGGGCAGCATTAGAAAAGACAGGATAGGGAGAGCACAAGTTTCTATTTCTTTTACCCATGTTCAGTCAGGTGGTCGTTGGCGTTTTCATGTCCTTGTCTAAATATCTCAAACATGCAGGACAAGAACCTCTTTTGACTGATTGTGGAGACAACTGGTCTCACAAGTACTGTACACCCAGAGGGTGAAGCATTTGTTCATGAAGTGCAGTGTTAGTCTTCTTAGGCCAAAAGTAAAAAAAAAAGAGCTCACATCTTCCATTTTCTTCAAAATGCAAATTTTAAATGATCTTTATTTAAATAAAACAATTGCTTTATTGTTAGATCTGTAGATTGAAGGACTGACATTTGTTCTATCAACACATTATCCTTCCTGCCAATAGGTTACTAGGGACCTCTTGACTCTTTCTCTAATTCCAAGCCTTTCAGGTTAGGTCATGGGCTGGCATCCTGCATTTTTTAGATGTTTCAGCGGTTGGTCACCTGACTTAAGTCAGGTATTTGATTCAGGTGAACTGGAGCAGGGCTACATCTGAAACAGGCAGACGGGATGGCTATATATTCAGTCTGTAGTTGTATCATATTCTTCCCACTTTCAGATGATGGAATAAGCAGTCCTCATTGAGATGTTTAAAACTTGTGTTGTTGTCATATAAACTTAACAATGAATCAAACTAACTTTGACTTCACAACTTTCTCCTGAACCAGTTTGCTTTGTTCATTTGTCTTCGGATAGAAATTGTTTACTTATGCTCTTGAATAAACCATCTCAGATCTGCACAGAATCATTTTCCTCAGACTTCGCAGTTATGTGGTGCATCCTACTGGTTATCACATAAAATGCCAATAAAAAGCAGGAAAAGTTATGGCTTTGGCATGATTAGGAAAAGTTAAAGGAGTATGAGTACTTTAACGAGGCACATTGTTATGTCCACAAAACAAATAAGATGGAAAATCAGAAGTCTTTGTTATTGTAATATTTTTATTTTCGGTTTTTGTTTGTGGACAATAAATGGCCATATCTTATCCGACTTTTCAAACATTGGAGTTCATTGTTTTCATTAACCTTGAGAGGCTTCAACTCTCCAACTCTTACTCATTTTGCTGCTTGTGTCACATAACAACCTCAGGCTTTCTGGTGATTGCTGTCTGACATCCACGCATCCATACAGAGCCAAATTCAATTTGTGATACAAGATACGTAGTTAATCATGTTTGATAAGTGTCGATGTTCCCTCTTGTGACTTTCGTTTATGAATTATGGATTGCAAGATGCATCTTTTTGTGGAGCGAAATAGAACGCTTTGGATGGACAAATGATTTTTGCTCTTGTGTTATCAATGTGCAATCCTTGCCACTAGAGTTGAAACACAAGTATCTCCTCAACGCTGTTGCTAAGCAGTGTGAAATAAACTGTATCCAAACGATGACACCTTGGGAGCGAGCGGGGTCGTGTAAGAATATAAAGTATGAAACATCCTGTTAAGGATGAGATGACAGATGGCAACAGGAATGAGCTTCAGTTAATGCACGTCTATTGTGCCAATTCTCCTGTTGCAGTGACGTACATAACCCCATGTATTTCCCTACCAATGTGGCAATGGTCCCTTTGCCAAAAAGTGACTTCCTCCTCCTTTGGGTTTTCCTCTGATGCAATGTCACTGTTCTGGCTGTTTCTTTAACACCCTTTACTTAGAGAGAGAGAGAAAAAACAACACCTCAGATATACATGCCAGACATATTCAATGTCTCAGCAGTTCTTTGAAGAAACACCTCTGGAGGAACAACACGTGTACTGTAGACAAATGCACACTGTGTTGACAGTGCATGCTAAGAGGTGCTGGGGAGCAGTGAGGGTTTATCATGCTGCTTGGACATATGGCCGGTGAAGCAAATCTGATTAATACGGGATGGCCAGGAGTCCGGCGTACAACAGAGGATAGACTGCGCCAGGACATCCCCACTGGTCCGGCCTCCCCCTCACACCTTCCAAACTTAGCCTGCACAGCTAAAAAAGGACCTTCCACCGCAGATTCAGATGGTCAAAGCAGTGGGGAATCAGGAGAGGGAGTGTCGTTAGTTACAAGGTGAACAATGACAGGGAACTTTGTGGGCATTTTAGGAACTGGGGACATTTTTTGAGCCTAAATTCTTCTAAAGTTTCAATCAAAAAGAAAATTTAAGTAGAACGATTATTATGAAATCCATCCATCATGTATCCCAGCATTTTATTGTAGGGTTGCAGGGGGGGCCGATGCTGATGTTTCATTTGATAAAGCACATCACCCCAGTTAAAAAGTCCTTACACTGGCTCACTGTAGCTCAGAGAAAAGATTTTAAAAATACTGTTGTTAGTTTATAAATCACTGAACGACTTAGCACCACAATATATTAAAGATCTGGTGATGTTGTATCAACCTTCTAGACCTCTGAGGTCTTCTGGTTCTGGTCTGCTTTGCATCCCTAGAACAAGTACCAAACATGGAGAACCAGGATTCAGCTTCTATACACCATACATCTGGAACAAACTTCAGGAAAACAGCCGAAACACTGAATTATTTTAAATCAAGACTGTTTAGAGTTGCTTTTGAAACATGATGAATGAAACATTGCACTCATCAAAAGGTTATGTTTGTTACTGGATTTCTCTATTGTTGATATTAAAGTAGTTTTTATGACTATTTCTGTGCTTTTATGATGTAAAGCACTTTGAACTGCCTTGTTGCTTAAATGTGCTTTACAAACAAAATAAATTAATTGATTGCATATAAAGAGGTAGCGAGGTGAAAAATTGAATTATTTACAATCAGTTTTAGCCTAGCTACTTGCAATCAATAGAACAAGTCACACAGATTAAGCAGATAATACAATGACAAACTCTAAAACAGTTAGTTATGTGTTAATGCTTGAAAACGATTAACTTGAAACAGACCAAAGAAACAAATTAGTATTTTTTTTTTTAATTGTTTTATGCAAGTTTAAAGAAAAGTCTATGACTCCAGTGTCAGTCAGAACTTTGACTATGTCAAGGGATATAAGCCTGGTCCATCTAGTCAAATTGTTAGAGACGTCGTGGCATCAATAGAAAAGAGAAGGTGAAAAAAAAAACGAATTTTTAAATCTAACCACACCATTACTTATTCCTCTGAAATGAAACGGCTTACCTGGAAAGGACAATAATAATAATAATAATAATAATAATAATAATAATAATAATAATAATAATAATAATAATAATAATAATAATAACAATAATAATAATAATAATAATAATAATAATAATAATAATAATAATAATAATAAAAACATTCTGCTTTA